CTGAAGAATTAATTAAAGGAATAATTTTTATTAAAAGGAAGATTATTATAAATATAATAATGCTGTAATAATTGAAAATAATTGAATGATAATTAAGTAATTGAAGTTGTAAACCTTATTAAGGGTTCCAAATGATTTTCTATAGGTGTAGCTTTATGAAATGATAGAATTAATTTCTTAACTTTATGGAAGATGGAAACTTTTTTTCTTTTCTTTTTTTGTATAAGTAAGGGATGCTGTTAAACTATCTTGCTGAAATGGTAAAGATTTTGGGTATTTGAAGAACTAATTAAATGAATAATTTTTATTAATACGGAGGAGATGGATTGTTTAAGTTTAGAGTTTGGAGTTAGAGATATTAATATTTGTTTACTTGTAGTTGAATGTTAGCCTAGATTTGGTTTGGGAAGTCCGGGGGGTGGGGGGATGGGATAAATCACTGTGTAATACTTGTGATGTATTTCTTCTTTTATGATAAAAACAATAAAATTCTATATTGAAAAAAAAAAAAATGATCACTAATATACTTGACCCAATGAAAATCATTGATATGGTATTACAACTACAGTCATCTGATAACGTGGTTCTCCATTTCAGTTTATTATTGGGGGGGGAGGAGGACCCCGATTCCAACCCTTGCGGTCTAATGGATGATTCCTAGCAATGCCAAAGCAAACATACTCATTTGCAAAACTACTATAGCACATTTATTTGTTTGAAGATTATGACCCATTTAGATCCAAGGCTTTGGAGAAGCGGACTGAAGAGGAAGAGAAAGGACAGGGAGAAAACGTCACGTCACGGGACTGTTTTCGAAACTTGGCGTTTTTGTTTTTCTCAGAACGAAGAAACAACCGTCCTCGCCCTCTACCGGCCACTTGTGGAAACGCCCTCCCTATCTCGTCCTCTCTATGGTCTGAGGGAATGGCCGTTCTCCAGTCCCCTCCCCTCTTGTCACTCCGAAGGTTGGGCGTTGTGGATTGAGAGCCGACTCCGGCTAAGCGAGTCAGCCCCGGCTATAGTTAGTCAGAGAGCGCTGGCTTCTTGCTGGAAGAAGAAGAGCAGAAGCCGAAGCGGAGGTAGTGCCTCCACCCCAGTGTGATTATGCCCTTCACCACGGCCAAAGTGGCCACACGGCTGAGCCAAGGAATCACCGCCAAAAGAGCAGCCGTGGCACTGCTGGTGGCCGCATATGGGGCCAGGAAATTATACCCCATCCTACGAAGACAGTGGGCTGCCTCGGTCCTCCAGGTGAATTCAGAGACCACCAGTCCCAGAGAGCCAACAGCAAGGTGGAAGGAACTCGAGGAGGGCACCACATCACAGCCTGGTGTGAACAAGGTGTTTTTTCTCCGTCTCCTCCGTCTCCTGAGGTTGTTGTTCCCTGGGCCACTGTGCCGGCAGACAGGACTCTTGGCCTTGCATTCGGCTGCCCTGGCTAGCCGCACCTTCCTCTCAGTTTATGTGGCCCAGCTGGATGGACGGTTGGCCCGCTGCATTGTCCGTAAGAACCTACAGGACTTTACGTGGCAGCTTCTTCAGTGGCTCCTCATTGCCCTGCCAGCCACCTTTGTCAACAGTGCCATTCGGTACCTGGAAGGGCAACTGAGCCTGGCCTTCCGTGGACGCTTAGTGGACCATGCCTATCAGCTCTACTTTGAGGGTCAGACCTATTACCGGGTCAGCAACATGGATGGACGGTTGCGTAACCCGGACCAGTCACTCACAGAAGATTTGGTGGCCTTTGCTAATTCTGTGGCCCATCTCTACTCAAACTTGACCAAGCCTGTCCTTGATCTCATTGTGACTTCCTATACCCTCATCAGTTCAGCTAGATCAAAGGGGGCTGATACAGTTTGGCCCTCAGTTATTGCTGGTTTGGTAGCTTGCACCACTGCCAAGGTGCTACGTGCCTGTTCACCAAAATTTGGCCAACTGGTGGCTGAGGAAGCGCGCCGGAAAGGAGAGCTGCGCTACATGCATTCTCGTGTGGTGGCCAATTCGGAAGAGATTGCCTTCTATGGGGGGCATAAGGTAAAGTAGGCAGAATGACAATATTTTTAGTAGAAAAACAAGATTTAGTTTTTGGAAAGAGGAAGTCTGTAGGCTATTTGGACTTCTCTGGTTCTGAATGAGGAATAATAATATAGTCTAATTAGAAAAGTAGAGAGAAGATACTTTTTATTCTCTGTGTTAGTAATTTACCATCTTCTGTAGAATTACACCAAAAGCTCAGCAGCTAACTCAATTTTAATTCCGCCTTAGGCAAAATGAAGCTGTCCCAAAACCGATTTAGACTAGCACCCTTGTTTACTTCCTTCCTTTGTTGTTTCCTTGAATTTGTCCTGAGGCACATCTAGGGCTCTAACCTTGATTATAATCTGTCCTTGTTGCTACCTTCAGTCCTTTCCAACATCCTGCAAAAATCTTTCTTGGTTTCTGTTTATCCTACCTAATTCAAACAGTTGAGGTAGCCCCAAGGCTTTCTACATTTGGCACCAGCTTGTCTTCTAATGTTTCCTGCATTGCCAGGCAGAAGAGTGAACTGAAAGGCAGTAAATATGTATGGTATGTGGAATTTCTGATTCCCAAATATAGAATGAGAAATACCAGCAAGGAACATAGGTATAAATCAAAACTCCTGTTGATAAAGAATGGAGAAAGAAAGAATGTTTTAACACTGGGAAAGAGAATTTGATACTAATAGTCATATCTTTCACATATTTTTACTTTTCCCCATTCTTCAGTGCTAAATCTGCCCTGCAAAGTGTGTTCCAAGGCCCAACATCTCTCCCTGTGGTAACTTCTTTCCAAAATTAAGAGTAACTTTAGGTCATATTTACACAAAAATCACAAGCAAATAGGAACAAATATTTCCTGTCTCTTTCAAAGTTCACTGATTTTTTTTTTTAAAGGATCAAAATGCAACAGTTGCTTTTTAAATAAGAGATCAATAATATCCCATGGCCTGCATTAGACATAATAACATATGTTATATGATAGAAGTCTGCATTGAGTCAGCTATTGGATTTTATAGGTGGCATAGGGAAGTTTAAAGGTTTCTTAGAGGCATGTATTTATTCCATAGCTAGTAATTTTCTACTAACTAATCAGTTAATCTGCAGTTTGTATTACCTGTTTGCATATAAAAGCTACAGTAGATGGACTATAATTCAGAGTGCATGTACAGTATACATACATCACAGAACTAACCTAATTATTCATTTATGCTATGTTTGATGTGGATCAGGAAATGTAGATTAAACTGCATTAGGATTCAGGGAATTCTGATCCAAAGTGTGATAGAGTCCAGGCTTTATGCTTTGTGCCACTGAGAGATTAATAAAGCCTGTATGAAAGAGGTGTAGGACAGCTGAGTGAAGATAAATATTAGATAAGAACATATATATATGAATTAGAGACGATAAGAAAATGTATATACATGTACAAAAAGGCTGCAATCTTAAATTCTTAACTAAAATTGTGATGGGGAGAGTCCCACTGAACTCATTTGCAAGTAGAGATTTTTAGAATTTTGCTGTAGAGCAACTAAAGTCTAGAATCCTTCAGTTTCATTTTCTTCTGTTTACACGGTCTATTAAGGCACCTGCAGTTTATGAGTTCTAGTTCCACTTTAGGCATAAAAACTGGCTGAGTGAACTCTTGTATATAAATATGCTGCAGAAGGCACTGACACTAGTGGGGGAAATAATTTGGCTGTAACTTCTCATATTTGTAGAAATAATAACAAAACTAAATTCTTTATCTGGAGTTCTCTGAGTTTTAGGTTTATTTGTCCTGCAACCTAATTTGCATATTATACTAACTCATGGTATTTTTCATCTTGGTTTATTCAATAAACTATGTTTTGTGAACCCAGCCTATAAGAACAGGTGTCTCCCTCGATCTAATTGTCTAATTCATTTGGTTTTTATTCCTCTCTCTGATCTGGGAACACATCCATTTGTCTACATGCCCAGGAGATTCTTTGGTGCATTTACATTGTTGAAATAAAACATGGAGATGCCTTTATCTTTGGGGTTGTAAACCTCCAGTCATTTTGTTTCTTCCTGCTACTCTTTTCAGGTGGAGCTGTCCCTTCTGAGGCATTGTTATCATCAGCTGGCCTCTCAAATCAACGTGCTGCTTCTGGAGAGACTCTGGTATGTGATGCTGGAACAGTTCCTTATGAAGTATGTGTGGAGTGCTACTGGGCTGGTCATGGTGGCTGTACCAATCATCACTGCTACTGGTTACTCCGAGACAGGTGAGGATGGGAGAAGAAAGCAAAAACTGCTGCTCTCCTGGGAGCAACATGGCCCAAAATAATAAAATGGGTATTTAAGATCATATGTTAACAGGCAGGAGCTGGTAGAACAGGGGTGTCAAACTCAATTTCATTGAGGGCCACATCAGCATTGCGGTTTCCCTTGAGGTGTATGGCCAGGGTTGGTGCGGCCTACTGGGTGGGCATGGATGGAGTGGGTGTGGCCTACTGGGTAGGCGTGGCCAGCTCTACATCATTCCTGTCAAGGGTGCCTGTTGGGGCCTGGGCAGGAATGGGACAGATCTGAGAGTCTCTGGCAGAAGGGGGTGGGACCAGGGCAAGTGCCAAGGCATGGTCCACTGGAGGAGCCTCACTGTTCCTCTCAGGCCATGCAGGGGGAGGGGGCTGGATGGTGGTGCAGGCTGCCGGGAGTCCTGGGCAGCAGAGGTCAAACTCCCAGCCTGGCCCTCAAGCACCTGCGGCACCAAGCCCAGCCCCACTTCCCCAAGGAGGTGCCCAGCTGCACTTATCTCCTCCTCAAGGCTGCTGCTGCTGTGCTTGCTCTCCTTAGCCAGGTTGCTCATGATGGGTACGAGGGCAAAGTCAGAGGGAGGCCCATTCCCTCTCCATGGGAGGAGACCCGGCTTTGTATCCAAAGCTTCCTTAGCAATAGGATGGGAGACCCCCAGGATAGGCCAGGAGGAGAGGGAAAGGGGATGGTGAAAGGGCAACAGGGCAGGACTAAGGCAGGATTTCCCTCAGACCCTCCCTCTCCTTCTTTCCTTCCTTCCTAAGTACAGAGTAGTGGGAAAATATTTGAGATGAGGGAGGGAGAAAAACAGGCAAGAAACGCAGCTGGAGAGGTATCACCCTTCGTGAGGAACGAAGAAATGCACCATCGCTGGGAAGTGGCCAGCACATGGCCCTCACCTACTTCACATATCAGGCTTGGAGGGCTTGGGGAAGGGGATGCCATAAGCAGCGCAAGAGTCAACATTACCTGCGCGACGCCACCCAGCCCCCAGCCTGCCCGGTCTCAGCAGGCAGCGAGGCGTTCTCCTCACAGCGCCGAGAGGCTGAACCAGGCAGCGCGAATCTGAAAAGAAGCATGATGCCGCCCAGCCCCCAGCCTCGGCAGGCAGCGAGGCGCTTTCCTCACAGCACCGAGAGGCTGAGCCAGGCGGTGCGAATCTGAAAAGAAGTGCAACGTCGCCCAGACCCCAGCCTGCCTGGTTTTGGCAGGCAACCGGGCACTTTCCTCACAGTGCCAAGAGGCTGAACCAGGCGGCTCAAATCCAAAAAGAAGCACGATGCCACCCAGCCCCCAACCTCCCCGGTTTCGGCAAGCAACGGGATGCTTTCCTCACAGCGCCAAGATGCTGAACCGGGCAGCGCGAATCCAAAAAGAAGCACGATGCTGGCCAGCCCCTAGCCTGCCCGCTTTCGGCAGGCAGCGGGGCACTCTCCTCACAGCGCCGAGAGGTTGAGCCGGGCGGTGCAAAGCTCGTCAGCTTTGCACCTTGCTGCCTGCTGAAACTGGGCAGGCTGGGGGCTAGGCAGCATTGCACCTCATCAGATTCGCACCACCCGGCTCAGCTCTTGGCGCTGTGAGGAGAGCGCCCTGCTGCCTGCTGAAACCCCTCCTCTGGAGCCCATCAAGCCGGATATGTGAAGTAGGTGAGGTCCATTTGCTGGCCACTTCCAGGTGATGGTGCATTTCTTCATTCCTCACAAAGGGTGACACCTCCCCAGCCTGCACCCAGGCGGTGGGGCCGATGCGGCAGGGGCTGGTTCCTCGCTGTTTCCAGACGGCCTTGTGGAGCTGAGACTGAATGCGGTTCAGCATAGATGGCCACCACAAAATTGTACATTGGTTCCTGGCTGGCCTGGGCCAGGGCCAAGGCAGTGGGGCCGTTCCCTCATTGTTTCCAGGATGGCTTTGCAGGCCACATGAAACCACTTCGCGGGCCGCTTCTGGCCCACGGGCCTTGTGTTTAACATGTTTGTGGTAGAGGATCAATATGGAATCATTAAGGATGATCATTAAGGATGATGCCTGAAACACTAATTGCTAACTCACTAGAAGGCTTAGTGAGGGCAGAATAGCCCAGGGCACCTTCTCACTGGCTCATGTCTACACATCTCATACAGGCCATTTCCACACTAGTGATTAATAGTGTTACCCAACCATTCTTCTGTCTGTCATGATGAGGGTGACTGGGGGATGTTGAGATATAGAGATATAGATTCATAGTGGGCACAAGCATCTATGTAGCATCGTGTCAGTACCTCCTTAAAGCTAGTTCAGAATGCGGCCGCGCGGGGGATTTTGGGGGCCTCTAGATACTCCCATGTAACACCTCTCCTGCGCGAGCTGCACTGGCTGCCTGTGGCCTTCCGGGTGCACTTCAAGGTGTTAGTAACAACCTTTAAAGCGCTCCATGGCAATGGACCTAGGTATTTGCAAGACCGCCTCCTACCAAATACCTCCCTTCGACCAGTCCACTCCCACAGAGAGGGCCTCCTTAGGGTGCCGTCGGCCAGTCAATGCCGGCTGGCGACCCCCAGGGGGAGAGCCTTCTCTGTGGCAGCTCCTGCCCTCTGGAATGACCTACCCCCCAACCTACGTACAACTGCGGACCTGCGCCTCTTTCGCCGAGCCTTGAAAACCCATCTATTCCATGCGGCCGGCCTGGCGTAGTTTTGATTGTGTTTTGGTAGGGGTTTTATATGGGGTATTTTAGAGCAGGCCTTTTATTTAATATTTATTGTGATTTTTATTATCGCCTGTTCACCGCCCTGAGTCCCGTAAGGGAGATAGGGCGGTATATAAATTTAAATAATAAATAAATAATAAATAAACATGCTGGGTTTTTTTTTTCTATGATCACAGCCCAATAGCTGCATGATCCCAAGTAAAGACATAGTTGTTTAAAGGAATTGCTATGTGCACTTACACACGAACTCCAGTTCACGCTTTCCCCTTCCAATCCAGATGTCTAGAATCACTAGTATAGAAATAGTCGCAGGAAAATGCAACCAAGCACAGAAAGATGCACTCATGGTAGTACAAGAGCCGTACTGCAGACTAACTCACTGCTCGCTCCAGGAGTTCGATTCTCACCCGCTCAAGGTTGACTCAGCCTTCCATCCTTCCGAGGTCGGTAAAATGAGGACCCAGATTGTTGGGGGCAATAGGCTGACTCTGTAAACCGCTCAGAAAGGGCTGTGAAGCGGTATATAAGTCTTAAGTGCTATTGCTATTGCTAGAAAACTGAACAGATAGGAGAGAACTGCAACAGCCAGGGGTTTTGTTGTGCAACACCTGAGAGCAAAAGCAGGTTGAGCACTGAAGGAAAAAACAGGAATGACTGTTGAGGGCCAGGAATCGAGCTTCCCCCCCCCATCAGCTGGTTCTCCACTAGTTCCCAAATATCATGGTTTCCCATTAAAAGCCTAAAATCACTCATTCTTCCCATGTTGATGGCTCCCTCTAGCAGTTTGTATAAATACAATTACCTCTTCATGGAGACAGTGTACAGGTAGTCCTTGAATTAGAGCTGAAATGGAGCATGCCCATTAGGGTTGGCATCAGGAGGGCCGTTAAGTGAACTGCCTCACTTAACGACCCCCTCCATCACTGCTCTTCCCGATGCATTTGTTAAATGAACATGTTTTAAACAAACAGGTTGTTAAGTGGAGCATGGAGAGCCTCAGGGACTGGGGAGAACCTGAAGAGCCGGGTGCAGGCACAAGTCCACCTGCCTCAGATCTTCCAAGGCCTCCCCTCACCTGAGAGACCCCATGCTCCACTTCCCACCCCTTGGGGTCCCCACACCCTGTCACCTATCGTTCACTTACCTTTCAATGATCTCCAGAGCTCAGGAGATCTGAATAAGGAAAGAGTATAGGCCACACCATTCCCGAGCCACATGGCACAATCCCACCAGCAGCCATCTGCAATGGACATAACTTCAAGACTGGGTCATAAGTAGCTTTTAGAGGGGGTCTGTCATAACTTTGAACAGTCAGTAGGTGACCTGTCTTAAGTCAAAGACTACCAGTATTAACTTCCTTCATGTTACAATTTTTTCACCTGCTAGTTGTCCCAAATACATGTCAGGAAGATGATTAAACTATGTAAAGTCTTCCTTCACATTTCGGAGTTCAGATCTAGTGCCACAGATCTTTGGAGGATTAAGGGAAACCTAAAGAATGAATAGGTGTCTTCCTCATGAAGCGTTATCACAGAACATTTTAAGGCAATATTTGGAGTATTATTTGTTTAATAGTTTCATGGAGGGATGCCTTTTTTGTTGTTGTTGTTCTGGCCCTCATCACAGGAGGGTTCTCATGCTGGTATTTTCAACAGGTGCCAGACTGCAGCATGAATAAGCGACCTCAGATCAGGGTTTCAAGGAAAGTGATTCCTAATGAGAAAATGGGATTCTAGGCAGTAGACGTGAGTGGAGAAATGGAGATATGTGTTCCAGCCTTTCCTCCCTGTCACAATTTTGTTCCACCAGATTCAGAGGCAGTGAAACAAGCGGCAGTGGAAATGGAAGAGGAAGAATGGATAAGCTTGAGGACTGAGGCTTTTACCACAGCTCGGAATCTTTTGTCTGCAGCAGCCGATGCTACAGAGAGGGTCATCTCTTCCTACAAAGAGGTACGGATGCTCAGTTGCCTGGGGAAGAATTGGGTCAGTCTGATCCTCCGATGAAGGATGTAAATAAGCCTCTATGTCTTTATAATCTCCTGAGGTATAATTCTAAAAGGCACATACTCTGTAACCTGCATTCAGGCAGGGCTTCAGTCCTGCAAGTTCTGAGAGCAGAAAGACCTTGTATCAGCTATTACTTGCTTCTTAATATCCTTAAAATGGGAATTTTTAGTGGTTTCCAGGAGCCATACCTATGAGCTTTGACCTTGCACTGCTAATAACTCATAAGATTAGTTTTCATCTCTTACCACCTAGACCAGGGGTAGGCAACCTTGGCTCTTTTATAACTTGTGGACTTCAACTCCCAGAATTCCTGAGCCAGCATGGCTGACCTAGACAGACACACTGAATTGTACCATCATTTATGTTCCTCTCTTCAGAATAAGTCCCATTTAATTAGTATTCATACAGTAATCATTTCTGAGGAGACATTCACAGGATCCGGGTAGATCTTTCTTACCTTCTCTATGGCTATCAGATCAGGTTGCAAAAATCTAGATCAGTGGTTCTCAACCTGTGGGTCGGGACCCCATTTGGGGTCGATCGACCATTTCACGGGGGTCACCAAGCAAGGCTGTCCGCCATTTTTTTGTCTGCCATTTTTTTCCCCTTTTCCGGCGGATGCTTTACCTCCCTTGGGCTGGGCCAGCTGGTGGTCGGCCTGCTCCGTCTCTGCCGCTTGCCAGCTATGCCTCGGCCGGCACAGGGGGCAGAACCACGCATGCGCGGCGCTCCCGGGCAGGGAAAGTCCTCGACTTACGACCGGTTGGGTAGTCCTTGACTTACGACCGGTTTAGTCCTCGACTTACGACCGGTTGGGGTCGCAGCATTAAAAAGGTTGAGAACCACTGATCTAGATGGTCATTAGGTGACATTCTTTGCCACCATCTAGTGGTCATCTGGATGTTCAGCCCAGATCTAATAACCAGGCCAACTTTGGCTATGTTTATACATTATGCTATCACCAAAGCCTATACACATCATTGTGGCTTAGTGTTATGTAGAGACTCAAGCCATCTCTCAGGCTTCACCAATCCTATTGATGTAATCCCGACTTTACCTCCTTTCAAAATAACTGTGATGTGATCATTCTTGTCTTGTAAAAGAAATTTAATTTCACAGATGAATATGAGAGTGGTGAAGATGCTGGCCTAGAAACCAGGAAACTGCGTATTCTAGGCCTCCCTTACCCATGAAAGCTGGTTGGATAGCTTTGGGCCAGGCACTCTTTCTGAGCCCAACCCACTTCACAGAATCGTTGTGGAGAAAATAGGAGGTGGGAATATTAAATATATTCACTGCCTTGACCAAAACATATTCTAAAAGGCAGGATAAAAATTTAATAATAATCTTCTTCAAGACCCCTTCCCTACCACAGCTCTACAGGTCAGTCTGGAGGATCTTCAGTTACTTTTGAAATTAATGTATATGAGTTTCAAAATATCTTTCTATATATGTCTTCTATAGTCCATATACAGACAGCAAGTCTGGTTTCCTATATCACAGTCAAAATAATGTGGCATCTTTAATTTGGCTAGCATGTTGTACAACTCAATCATTGGGCTTTATAAACTCTGTATCTTTTATCCTTGCAAATCATTCTTCCTTCCATCCATAATGTCCATACGCTGCTTTCTACATTGTCTTTTTTTTTTCTTTAAATTTCTGGCATACTGGTTTCTCAATAAACTCCATCCAACCATAATTTTCTTCTCTTTCCCTTTTGACACATTCATTTTTCCTCATACATTTGCTTTGCGGTTTGGTCCTCATTCATTCTATCTATATAAAAAAAAAATCAAAATACTTCTTTCATATGGGCCACTCATACTTGCATTCAGTCCATAGTCATTCAATACCCATTCAGTCTTGCCCTTATTTCTTCTTATTTTATAATACACACCCCTGCCGTATCCCATTCCTGCTGCATTTGATTGACTGATTGATTGCATTTATATCCCTCTCTTCCTCAGGTTTATTTTACATGAGAGTCTTTCCTAATTTCACTTCACAAAAACTGCTGTGGATTTAGAAAGAGACTAACCAAAACTAATCAGTGAGCTGCATAGGTGAAGTGGACTTGAACTTTAAGTCTAGAACCATAATCAGTACATTGGGTTTCTATTGTATACCTCCCAGGCCCTAGAAGAATCTGACATCAAAATTGCCTTTGTATAGGTCTGGCTTACAAATGTGGCAAGAAAAATAAAAAGCTGAGATGTTCAGGAAAGAGGAAGTTTTTCAGTTTAATTGCTGATGGTCAGAGATACATTGAATGTTTTAAATACAGAAACATAATGTAAATGAAAGGTAGTTGCCGTAATTGAACAGTTTATTATTCCTTAATAGTAAATATGAGGCGCTACTTAACCCTGTGGGTTCAGGGAGATACTGGTTACACCCATTTGTCTTTTGATTGCTACAGTCCTAATTGTCAGTTTGATTATATCTTATGGATACCATTTGCAAATACGATCTGTATGATTTCATATATGTTTCCAGCACAGTAAGAGCTGGATAAATGCTTTGAAACTTATTACTCTGGCCTGTCAGACCCAGATTTGAGAAAACAACCATCAGTGAATGCCCACTACCCCAACCCCTGGCAAAAAGTTGATATGTGGATTCCCATTCCAGATGTAAATGAATTGCAGTTGTGGCTTTCTTCCCTAGGCAACTGAACTAGCAGGCTACACTGCTCGTGTGTATGAGATGTTCCGGGTGTTTGAGGATGTGAAATGCTGCAACTTCCGACGTCCTGGAGAGCTTGATGAAGGCCAGGCTCAGGCTAGAACAGTTATGAAGCATGGTATGCGTGTCGAGGGCTCACTCCAGATCCAAGGTAAAGCTTTTCAGCAGACGTCTGGCTGAAGTGACACACATATCTCCACCTGCCTATCCCTGCAGCTGATGTTGCAATTGCATCCTGCTAGATAAAGATTTAGTGCCAGAAATTAAATTGAAGGATCAAATTAAAACTATAGCCTTGGACACTCAGATTTAATTAAATATTTTGTTTACTGATGAAAGAAGGTGTATGGCTGCCACTCCTGTTTTGTGGCTGTAGTTGCAGACGTTCAGAAAGTAGACCTCTTCTAAACAGGCACAAGCTCAGTCTATGGTGTGGATTTGCTGAAAACATTTATACGCTGCTGTTTAGCCTGAGTGACTCCCAGAAAAGCTTACATAAGAATAGAAATAGTCAATCCCTGCCCTCAGGCTTTCAGTCTAAAAATATATGACACAGGAGGAAAATAAATAGTACACACCCTCTCTTAATAATTCACCATTCCTGTAGCAGCCAGTTGTGATGGGGTACTGCAGAAGGGCTAGATCAGTGGTCCCCAGCCTCTGGATCATGGACCGGTCCCGGTCCACAGCCTGTTGGGAACCGGGCTGCACAAGCAGTGGGTGAGTGAGCAAAGCTTTATCTGTGCATGCGTGGGATCTAAATTGCACGTGAAACCATTCTCCCACCCTGGTCCATGGAAAAATTGTCTTCCACAAAACTGGTCCCTGGTGCCAGAAAGATTGGCGGCTACTGGCCTAGACGATACCTTCAGCTCCAGAGGACATGGTTTTGTTGCTCTCCTCCCAGTAGACCTTATAAGGGGAAGAAAAGGCCTCATCAACAGAGAGGAGAAATGCTGGCTAGTCTCACACATCACAGTGAGCCAATGTAGCTTATTTGATATTGGTTTGGTATATTGCATGAACCCTGCCACTGTGGTTTAAAAATCATGGTTAGGATTACTTTATGAGTTTGGGGTATATTCAGCAAACTAGTTAAATAAACTATGTCTTAGCATAATGCATAAAACAGATTTAAGGCCTGATGCTTTTGTGTACTCATACTAAATTCTAAATTGTCTTAAAAGAAAAGAATCAGGGAAAGTTTATTCTGCTTTTTTTATGCCTTCACATTTCCTGAATGTTTAGGCTGGCTGCAAGCCATGTAAAGTTCAGACAGTCTATTTTTTACTTCCAAGTGCAGTTGGTGGAAGCCAGAGATACTTATATAATTTAAGCGTAATATCTGCAAAAGAGTCAAATGATTTTTCTTGATCTGGTTCTCTCCAGATATCTGGGACTCTTTTTCCAAACAGCTCCAGCCATATTGTATGAAAGCAATGGTTGTTCTAGTCTAGCTTGTCTAGAGGGAACTAATTTAGGGAAGACTGCAGTAGATTTTTTCCAGTTTTACCTGTCCTTCATTGATATTGGCCGAGACTGAAGAACTTGGAACGATCTCCTAGTTCCAAATGTTCTGGGAACTTAGAATTAGTTCCTGGTAGTCAGCTGTATGCTTTAATCTGCCAAAAACAATCCCTGCACTATAAAAATAATGCGTATTTGGTTTTGATCATTATTCCTTTTGTTTTTAAAACAACACATATAGAAATTAATTTCTAATGTTTTATTTATTTGATATTTTGTTTTAGGTCAACAAAAACTTAAAATCGATCAGCAAGATGGTTTCCATAATTAAAAAAAAGCTAATAAAGAAAAAGTTTGAATGTTTTGCTTTTACATTCTGATAGTTGTATAGGATGTCCAGTTATGTCGTCACACATAAACTGAGATGGGTTTACTAGGCCTTGGTACCAACTTGTCAGAACTGTCTTGGGTTTATCAGCCCATATTACCTGATTTTTTGATGGGCCTTTCTCTAGTCTAGAGTCTATGCCAAACAAGAAAGAAATGAGAGATGTACTCTCCAGTCTTCTTCAAGTTAAGCTTAATTCCACACCTCTGCGTATATTATGCAAGGTCAACTTATTTGAAGGATATAAATTTCATAATCTGCTTTGTGAGACTTCCTCCTATGTCATTGGTACTAGTTTTGCTTGTCTATTCCAGGAAAATTTAGCAATTTCCTGCCTAAGAGTTCAGCTGTCATTACCTTGTTCAGATACATCTTTACAGCCTTTTCCCCCTCCTCTAATATGTCCTGAGAGGTGATTTCTATAATATTCAATGTAGTTGTAGAAATAAGGTGAATGTAATGCCTGCAGGCTTTCCCTGCTCCTTGTTAAATGTTTTAAGGAGCTACCTTTTTCACTTATTTGGTGGGGAGGGTACGTTACTATATTATTGGATACCTGTTTGGTAGGCTCAATTCAGATATGCTAAGCTATATCTTATGGGAAATGTGCCAGGTATTGAGGCCTGTTATCACACTCTAATTTTTTAAATACTTTTTTTAAATAAATAAATAAATAAATAAATAAATAAATAAATAAATAAATAAATAGGAAACAGTATACAGCAAAGCATCAGATTTGATTGCCATTTTTACTTATAAGGATAGTTCTCACTTCTACACTAATTTTACAAAGCGTTTTTAGAAAATAAAAATTGTCGGATAGTCACAAGGAAAAAGAGACAAAATTTAGCAGAGGTTGTAAGAACCATCCTGCAAAGAGAGATAAGAAATAGATTGGGAAACAACTTTACCAGATCACCATCTGATGACTGGCTATCCTCTCCATGGTACCCACTTAATAAACTGTAAAGCCTCAACAGCAGCCATGGACGTGCCCACACCATGCTATGAAATATCAGAAAGTGTCTGTTGTCTCAGGTTCCACCTACATGACATGAGTCATAGAGAAAAAGAAATAATTGGTAAAGGGTTAAATTTGTTTGTTTCTACTGAGAAGGTCAGCATCTCTTGGAATGAAATGCTTCTTTCATTGTGAATATAAGACTCTTGTCTTTTCTTTTCTTCTTTGCTTACAGGACATGTGATTGATGTTGACCACGGGATTATCTGTGAAAACATCCCTATCATCACTCCTACTGGGGATGTGGTAGTCAGCAGCCTTAATATCCGAGTAAGTGGTCAAGGCATTAATATAGGGCAAACTGGCGTTGTAGATCCTGATGAACTACAACCCCAAGAGTCTGAACCAGCACGACTAATGGAAAGAGAAGCTGGAAATTGTAGTTTGACCACTTCTGAAGTCCAGGGATAGGTAGTCTGAGTGAATAAATAGGAAGACTGGGACTGGGATAACAGCACTGAAGCACTGATGAAAATGAGAGGCTACATCTTCTAACCTGACTGCATCAGTGTGGGAAGCAATTTAAGGTTACTTTCATTGAGTAAAGCTGCCAACTTTTGAACTTGGCCCAATGCAGATATTATTTTAATAGGCTCCTGCTATTCATGAATTAGTAGGTGGCTGCGCTGAGAAGCTTCCCCTCGGAATTCTGTAAGTCAGATTGTGATCCAAAGGCAAAGGTGCAGATCAAAACACTTTATTTTCATGGCTAGTTGATATAGTAGCCCTGTTGGCAAACATGTTGACTCTGTTTATGTTTTGCTGGCCATCACCTCTCTGTATATTCCTGGACAAAGTATATTCCTGGCATGGAAAGGAGACAGGGTGACAGGAGGCAACTGCAGACATTCTGTTGACTATAATTTGGAGAACAGGAGATCAAGCAGCAGCAGCCATGGAGTACTACAAGGGGAAGGGCTAGGGAGTTTCGCCTGTGTTCCAGGGTCTTGCCTGTGTTGAGGGGTCATGGGGTTTTTGATGGAACTGATAGGTAACATCTGGTCTTTATGATTTTGCAAGAATACAACAGAGGTTCAGAATTTTGCTGGGAATACAACAGGAGCCTGAGACCAGATTAAGAAGAGAGGTAGTGAGCCGATGGGGCTCAGAGATTGCTATTAGAGCACCAAATGGATAAAGTAAGTTGCCTGGAGAAATGCAAATTCTATTGCATACATTGTTGGATATTGGGGGAGGGAGGAGCTTGGATCCTGAGAAACAATTAAAACTGCCAAGAATTGGGAAAAATAGGGGGAGACCATTATTGCTATTGTTGTTGTTCTTAGTCACACAGTCAGCCAAATGTTCAGACTGGATTTGGCATTTTTATCCACCTATCAAGAGCTTTCCAAGGACCTGGGATAGGCAGGTGTTGTTGTTCGATGGTGTTAGAGGTATCATTGCAGGATATATGCTGTTCCAAGTAAAGTTGCCCTTTTGCAGTTGACTGATGATTTAAATCAGTGCTAGTGATATTCAAGTGTTGCTTCAGATGTTTGGGGATATTATTGTTGTTATTATATTTTTATTCTGCCTTTTTCATATTTTTTCTCTGTGCATCCCCCTTGCAGGTAGATGAAGGCATGCACCTACTGATCACTGGACCAAATGGCTGTGGGAAGAGTTCCCTTTTCCGGATCTTGGGGGGGCTTTGGCCAACTTACAACGGCACCCTCTACAAACCACCTCCTCATCGAATGTTTTATATTCCACAGAGGTACAGTGGCCAGTATGGCAAGGGAGGGTGGGGAATTGGGGGCCAAACAATAGAGAGGCTGGCCCTCTTGGAATGCATCGGATTGAATGAGGAATGGAATAAGAACAGGAAAACTCTGGATTCCAGTGATTGGTACTCTAGTTGCCCCAAGGTTCTGATCTCTTTTTCACATCAGAGAAAGGAAATTGGTGCACTGAAGAATGCCCTAGTTCCGTGGTGGCGAACCTATGGCACGCATGCCACAGGTGGCACGCAGAGCCCTCTCTGTGGGCACGCATGCCCTTGCCCCAGTCCTAGGCCTTCAGCTGGGTTTTATAAAACTTTTTCACTTTAGGCCTCTGCCGCCGTGTGCAAAAAAAAAGGTTCAATCAATCAATCAATTTCAACTTCTGGCAGGAAAAAAAAAAGATCTCACGAAGTTGGAATTGATTCATTGAACTTTTTAGTCCCACCCAGTCTGCCGTTACCACCGCAGCCACCCCCACCCAATGGGCCACGCCCACCCAATTGGCCACACCAACCCAATTGGCCACACCAACGCAATGGGCCATGCCCACCCAGCACCCAACGATACATAAGTGGGTTTTGGGTTGCAGTTTGGGCACTCGGTCTCTAAAAGGTTCGCCATCACTGCCCTAGTTTGAATCTCTGCCCTGTCATGAGATTTCAAGATAACTTCATGCAAACTACCGTTGCATCATTCTGGGGCTTTCCAGTTTGATTAAATACCAGATTTCATCATCCCAGGATGGCTATTGTGCATGCTGGCTAGGCTATCAAAACCCTAATTGTGGACAGTTTCAGCTGCTCTTCAAATGCCAATGATTTATTTACTTGGCATTTCACTGTAGACCATACATGTCTGTGGGCACCCTGAGAGACCAGGTGATTTACCCAGATACGGCCAAGGATATGGGACCGAAAGGACATACTGATTCTGACCTGGAACGGATCCTGAACATCGTCAACCTCAATTATATTGTACAGCGTGAAGGAGGTGGGTAGCTCCCTGGGATGGATGGAGAAAATGGCAATCAAACACCTTGACTTCCTGTGCCTTGTCTTGACTTTGATTTACATGCAGCAAACAGGAAATTGAGTAGGTGGAGATAACAGTAGAGCTTCTTCTTTAATTATTTTCCAATCAGGTTGGGAAGCTGTCAGTGACTGGAAGGATGTACTTTCGGGTGGCGAGAAGCAGCGAATGGGGATGGCGCGGATGTTCTATCACAGGTTAGTGCCTAGAAGTGCATTTCCAATTGTACTTCACACCACTCCCTGGTGATGCTGGATTAAGTCACACAAACAGCTTCCAAAGAGTGTGGGTTGGGAAGAAGTGGTGAGGATCAATTCCAAATGTACCGGTTGATTTGATCCTACACCATTGTAATCACAAAGGATTAACAATATAGACATACAAATAAAACTCTAAACAGCAGCAACCATAAAATAATTATAATAGCTTAATCGAAGCCAGGAATGGCCATTCCCCTTATTTCCTGAACTGTCTTTGAAATAATTTCAATTTAAGTAGTGTTTGGAAAGCAGCTAAGCCTGCCAAAGAACAAGATTGTTCCATAGGGCAGGTGCCCTTTATGTTTCCAGGTCTCTGCTTCCTTCCTTTCCCATGAGGTGGTTACTGGATAATTAAGTCCAGTAGGAAGACGGGTGGTCCCGATTCTGCATGAGAGTGACAGATGGGATACTGGACTAGTGAAACAGGCATTTGGGATTGCTGACCTGGGCTCTCCCTTCCTTGCCCCAGGCCAAAGTACGCTCTCCTTGATGAATGTACCAGTGCTGTCAGTATCGATGTAGAAGGCAAGATCTTCCAAGCAGCAAAGGATGCAGGAATTGCGTTGCTCTCCATCACACACCGACCTTCGTTGTGGTATGTCTTGTTCTTTGCCCGGGATATATTAGCCTTTATACCTTCCCTTCCTTGCTTAAAGGCTTTTGTTGTTGTTTTCATTTGAATAGATATATCACACTTGTAGCAGATTCCCAGGGGTTCCTGATTAGGTCCTCCAAAACAACAAGGTCTCTTGTGATATTAATCTCTAAGGTAGCACAAGATTCTGTTATTTTGCATTTACTGTAGCATCAAGTTTCTGTGAATTACATTCCATTTCACTGGGGTAATACAGAAAGAACTGTAAAAGCAGTTAGAAGGACAATCAAAATTTGGAAAAGAAAAATATTAAGAGGTCAAAAGAAATGTAGGAGGTGCAGACACTGACAACTACAGTACTTATAGGGGCTATTCATGAAACTTTTGGTTTTGACACAATCATTCTTACTGTCAAATTAACTGAAACTTAACTGATTGGTCAACATGCAAAGCCATTAGGTGACTCACATGTTTCTGCTACATGAACCCATTCATTGTGGTTTGTAAGATGATTTCAGGTTAAGTAGGATCTGTGAATCAAGCTGTGTTATAATAAAAATCTTCATATCTATTTAATCCATGAGAAATAGCATTATGTTTCAGTGAAATTATAAGTAGTCCTTATTTAGCGACTGCCTCATTTAGCAACCGCAGTTAGGATAGTGATGAAAAAAATAACTTTATGACCGATCCTCACATTTATGACATTCCTGCAAAACAAACGAAAGCTGAAGTAAGATCATAAGCGCAGTTGAGTTGGAGTCCGGATTGTGGTTGCTAAACACCATCCTATACATTTGTTTGCTTTTGGATTAAGCCATAACTTTCAAATTATGATTTATTGTTGTTCTAATCCAGTCACTTATGGTCTTTAGTAAAACATGAATAAACAAGTCACACATTCTCTTAGAACACTGTTTGTATTACAGCACAGTTTTTCAAATTATCCATAATTGGATGAATTCATATTTCATGCTAAGCCACTCAGTATATCAGAAGTAAGAATTGGTGACATTCTAACATCAGTAAACTATAAGTTCTTTGCAGCATCCAATATGTTCTTTCTCCTTTTATAAGTTCTTTCTTCCTTTGTCTACAAATGCTAGGAATTGTATTATAATGAAGTGACAGCCTTTTTAGCTGGAAATCAAGGTTTACAAACCACAGTGCCCAGATTCACAGAGCTTGCTGAGACAAAACCAAGCAATGTGCTGGGCTGCATTAACAGAGGGATAGAATCAAGATCACATGAAGTGTTAATACCACTTTACAATGCCTTGGTAAGGCCACACTTGGAATACTGCATCCAGTTTTGGTCACCACGATGTAAAAAAGATGTTGAGACTCTAGAAAGAGTACAGAGAAGAGCAACAAAGGTGATTAGGGGACTGGAGGCTAAAACATATAAGGAACGGTTGCTGGGATTGGGTATGTCTAGTTTAATGAAGAGAAGGACGAGGGGGGACATGATAGCAGCCTTCCAATATCTCAGGGGCTGCCAGAAAGAAGAGGGAGTCAAGCTATTTTCCAAACCGCCTGAAGGCAGGACAAGAAGCAACGGATGGAAACTAACCAAAGAGAGAAGCAACCTAGAACTAAGGAGAAACTTCCTGACAGTTAGAACAATTAACCAGTGGAACAACCTGCCTCCAGAAGCGGGGAATGCTCCAACACTGGAAGTTTTTAAGAAGAAACTGGACAGCCATTTTTCCAAAATGCTGTAGGGTTCCTGCCTGAGCAGGGGGTTGGACTCGATGACCTCCAAGGTCCTTCCAACTTTATTACTACTACTACTACTACTACTACTACTACTACTACTACTACTACTATTATTATTATTATTATTATTATTATTATTATTATTATTATCATTATCATTATCATTATCATTATCATTATCATTAACTTTAGCATGATGTGCAAACCAATCTCATTTCTTTATCAGTTGTTCAACATCCCCGCTGGAATCTTCTGCGTCCTTTGTCTTCGTGAAGAGTTGTTGGGAAAGTAAAGAAGTTGGATCCTTCTTAGGATCCTTCTTACTGGATCCTTTCCCTGAAATCCGGCCGTATATTCCTGCTCCTCATCTATTGTTGTTTGAGTCATTGATTTGATTAACAAAGGGAAGGAATTCCGAAAGGATATTACTTTTGCCTTCACTCATCTCTGGGATATGCCTCCATGATAGTGCCAGGGGCAGGCATATGATTCTTCCAGGAAGCATGTGCCAACTCAATACTTCCCCTGACTGCAAATTCTTTCCTTGCACTACTATAGAAATCTCTTTTTACCAGGTTTTCAGCTACTTATACCCACAAGTCTCTCAGATGGGCAGGTTGGGAAAGTGTGCCTAGGAGCCTGAAGGCAGAATTTGCCACTACTTTGGTGCCCAAGAGAGCAGCCATTATGGATCAGATTGCCTATCTGGTTCTTTTTTTTTTCTAAAGCAGGGACAGGAAAGGAAATTTTTCTTAGGATCTTCTTCCCTAGGAATCCTGGGCCTATAAGAAGCTTTGTGCCAGGAAAAGAGGCACTTGCTGAACTCATTCTTTCAGTACACACTATAAAAAGGGACAGGGGACCTGTGTATTGAATCTGGCAAGCCTCAAGCCAGTCCACTTTCCAAGCCTCATCCGTCCTCTCCCCCACCAGCCCCCAGTTATACTTCCTTTCCCTCCTCCATTTCTATCTCTCTCTCTCTGTGTCATGTTGCTGGCTGCTCTCCCAAGCAGGGAGCCATGTCCTCAACAGGAAATTGTGTGGGCAGGAGCACCATGGTCTCATCCCTGGAGACTGAGAATGGTTTTGTTTCTGACTCCCCTCCCAGGACACAGCTTAGTGGAAAAATCCCTCCCCCAAACCCCTCCTACACATAGGACATTTGTCTAGAGGAATGAGGAACAGTAGCAGAGCCAGTGTGGGTGAGGTTGACCTTGAGCAAGGAGAAAGATGGCAGGCTGAATGCAGAAGTTGTATCCTGGAACGGTCTCTCAATAGCCTCCACCCTTATTTTCAGGAAGTACCATACGCATCTCCTCCAGTTCGATGGGGAAGGCGGCTGGCGGTTTGAGAAGCTGGACCCTGAAGCCCGTCTCTCCCTGCGGGAGGAAAAGCAGAGCCTGGAACAGAAGCTGGCTGGGGTCCCTGAAATGCAGCATCGTCTCAGCGAACTCTGTCAAATATTGGGTGAAGATGCACCCTCTACAGTGGGGTAGGTGGGTGATTTGGGGGCCTTCCAATCTCCCTTTCTTGCTGGCTTGATAAGAAGGATCCTAATTGTGAGACTTCCACCTGAGGAGCTGCACAAGATGGACAGTTTTTGTCCCAGCCACCCAAGAAGCAGTTGAGGATATCCTGCAGGAGGGGCATTAGTTATTTCTGGCACCCATTAATTTATTCTTCTGCCTCAGTTTAGGGCTGGAGGAAGAAAGGGGTTGCCCCACACTGCCAATATCTCTGAAGCCAGCCCTTTCAATTCCCACACACATGGTGCCTCAATACCCCTATATAGTACAAGAAGTTCTTCACAGGTGGGAATTGCACTGCTCCACTGCCAGTCTCGAGCCTCTGTACTCATGGACTTTGGGGAGTAACTTCTCAGCTACTGCCACCTCACCAACACAGAAACTTCAGCCAAACCAATCACAGCCTTTCTTCGTAGAAATGCTGCACGCATAGCATGAGTGAAAATTGTGAAAGAAGTTCTTGCCAACTTCTTCCTTTCTGGCCTCCACAGCTAGGCTGCAACGTTTGGCTCCACTGGAGATTTCTGGTACCCAAACTGAGGGATGTCTGCTCCTTCTTGAAACAGCCCTGGAGCAAAGCAGCAAGTTAAGAAATTCACATTCTATTAGGTGGTTTATGTTCTATGAAATGCACATATTTTTCAGGCACTTACCCTTCGTCTCACTAAGAACCTCTTTGTAATATAGGGCAATTTGCCTAAGGAAGTCCCGGATCCATGAGACCAATCTTCTGAAGCTAAATTTGTGTCTCTCGTTCTGAGTATGCTCAGCTGGTGCCAGAGTTAACATCTGGTGCCTTTATTGATGATTCAAACTGTATTGCCGACAGCACATCTTTGTAACCTCGGGGATCTCACCGCTGCATTCAAAGGATGCTCGGTAAAGACAGACATGGGAAGGTCTTCCTGAAATGGGAAGAAAATCGCTGTTCAGGATTTAATTTAATTTATTAAAATTTTGCAGCTTAAACTATCAAGCCATTTCCAAGGGTTTCTCTACAAGGGTTTCTCTATACGGAGGAGGCCTTCACTTTTGGGAGGGAATGACCGTTTATTGAGGGAGCTGTATTTCCAGGACTTTACTATCACTTGCCAATGGAATTGGGTCAGTCAAATTGGAATTTCCTAGAGAGATTACATCAGACTTTTCTAGAAATATTTCTGTTGTAAGTACTCATTTGATTTAGACTTGTCCAACGTTCTCATTTCCTGTATACCATGAGAGGCTACGTGGGTTCCCGATTCATTTAGTCCCTTGCCTAAAGCAGGATACATAAAGGAATATTTATTTGTAAACTATAGAGCTTTGCCAATTTACTTGCATTGGAATAAGATCCTAGCCTGTCTTGATTGAGGATAGAGCATTGGTAGCTCCTGTTTCTGCTACTGTGTGCATATTATTTTATCCTGCCACTTTAACCGATAGGATTTGTAGAGGGACTACACTAGATAGGAAAAGAATAACTGGGTCTCCTTTTATGAGACCTAAATTAGATTATTATTCTTACTATTGTTATACTATTGTTGGCCTGCCTCCCCCCCCCCAAATAAAATCATGAGGGTGGTTGAGAATCTCTACTATCATGGTTTAAAGTTCTGATATCAACTTTCTCCCTATGAAATAACAGACCAACAAACTATTATTAGTGTTAGCTCCAAGATCCACCCAACAGTTCCTTTTAGTTGCAACTCCATTAAACCTGGTATCAATCTTATATAGACTGTCTTGGCCCATCCAACAGTAGACAATTCCTTTGTTTTCCATAATTTTGAGTCACTCTGATCCCACTCGTAACATCCTCCCGCGTATCCACATTTGGTTGAATCTGCCTGTGGAGAGTAATGACTCGCTTTGTGGGGACAAAAAACTGGATAGGTTTAGATTTTTGCAAGCTGCTGTATTATTATTAAAAATACTCCCTCACTTCTCCCTCATAATTAAACAAAACAAAGAACAGCACAACAAGGAAAAGGCTTGAAGAACCTTTTCTCCCACACGTGCCCCTTGAGGAGATGTTGGACTGCTGTGATTGCTCAAAAGCCCAGTTCCTATCTCCACCACCCATGCCTGTAGTTTGAAGTAATACTGCTTATTCAGCTGAATGAGCAGATGCAACCTTTTAGTTCCGCCTTTTTTGTGTAGAAATGAGAAAGTCACAATCCCCTAGTTGCTGCTTCCTGCAGATCAAAAGAGAGACTCTTAACAGTTCTCTGCTGCTCTCTGCCATCTCCTTCACTCCCACAAGAACTTGTGATATTTGCTACCAGTGACCTTTCACTGCTAATGACCCTGTTGTTATACTTTCCAGCCACGGATCCATCAAGCCCACCAGTAAGGTCGAAGGCATTTACAGGGAGATTTTAGTCTGCATCAAACCACTTGTCCCGTGCCCTCTAGAACAGATCTATAATTCAGATTGCACTAAGCCAGAATGGGATCGTGTTGATTTGTGATGTGGTGCAGTATTGTGATTTGTAAAACTTGGTTCTCGGCTTGGAATGAATTCATCCAGCTATCTTAATCAACAAAACATGGTTTCGAATGGGAGTTTAAAATGATGTGTGAAAACTGCCAGTGTGTATATAAGAGCAGATTGGATATTGGAGGGAGGTGATGAAGAAAATCCATCTTTTTCTCCCCCCCCCCCTCCTCTACTGTATTGTACAAGTGATTAGTTTTATTTACTGTGTGTCTGTATTTTGTAAAGTACTTTAAAATTGCATTATCAGATCTATTATGGGCCATTTTATGAGCCTGGTATGTACTATTTACTCTTCTAGCAAGCAAGCAAGCAAAACTGTTTTATTGCTTATGGGGAGGGGAAGAGAACAGCAAAAGCCAAAGAGTGTGCCATTGAGATTGAGTGTTTGTCAAATGTAAAATTCTCACTGCAGCACATAGCTATTTCAATCTATTAGCTTTGATGTCAAAATCATGCAAACTATGCAACAAAGATTTTCTTGGTGGTTTTGGACAGGCAGGACTACCCATCCCAGTCTTTCTTCTGTCCTCACAGTGCCTTTTATGCTGGCAAAGCCAGGTTTATTCAGATGATGTTAATAAATATGATGAAACAAACAAACAATTGTCTATGTGATTCTGTGTGACTCTGGGTTCATTAGCGTATGTCAAAAATGGGAATCAGAAAATCTCAGGGTCCAAAAGTTTGAAAGAATCCCAGATTATTATAACACATGATCCTGCCTCACTTACTACAAGAATCAGTTGGGTGTAGTGGTTAAAGTGCTGGTCTAAAAACCAAGAGATTGTGAGTGCCAGACTCTGAATGCCATGAATGTCAGCTGGGTGATTTTGGGTCAATCCCTTTCAACCCAACCCATCTCACAAGGTTGTTGCTCTTGTTCAGAAAATAGGAAGGGGAAGGAGTATTATGGTAGGTGTGTTCCCAGTCTTGAGTTACTTATAAATTAGTAGAGGCAGGATAAAAATGTAATAATAGGAATAGATGCAATCCCAAAACAACTGGAGCACCATTTGAACACCATCATTGACAAAACTACCATTGGTCAATTGCAGAACAGCTTACATCCTAAGACAATACTTTTAACACCATCAAACAACAACATCTGCCTATCCCAGGTCCTTTGGAAGGATTCAGTAGATGGATAAAAATGCCAAATCCAGTCTAAACATTTGGCTGTGTGACAAACCATAATAATTCTGCCTATCTAAAGTCCGACCTAGATGAGCAAGATGAAATCATAAATTAATCAATTGGGTTGCAGGGGGTTATCCCACCCACCTTTCTCTGAAAAGGACCTGTCAGAATCTGCAGAGACAATCAAGGTAGACAATTCACTCTTGTCATTACAGTGTAAACATGAAGGTGAGCTCTTATCATGGTTGCCATGGAGGCAACAAGTTCCTGAGGCCTTCCAGAGCTCACCTTCTGGGCCATGGACTCCCAGAGAGAATTGTTCCAACAAACCTTTTCTAATTACTTAAATCTACCTGGAACAGACAAAACATGATCAACAAAACATCTATCTATAAAGCCAAATCTTCCAGGCAGATTTGGGGCACTTTTCAGCCACTTTTCGTTCCATCATCTGCTGCTAAGGAATGTTTTGCCTCACCCCTAATGAATTTGGTAATTTATTTTATATTCAGAACTGGAAAAAAAATCTAAGTTACAAGTTTAACACATGGGCCCAGCCTGGCAAATTTGAGTAATTTAAATGATACTGCATTGTGTTATGATATATTTAACACCAGCAGGAGACATTCCACCTTTATCAATTGGGAGAACAGCCTTCTCATCAGTTCCTGCAGAAACAATGAGTCACAGACCGAGAAGGACCCCTTCCGCAGAAATCAGATACTGTGAATTCTAACAGGGAAAAAAAATCAGTTTCTGAGATTTCTGTAACCTTATCATAATTTTTTTCAATCAATCCTGCTAAAGAAACTCTGGGAAAGTCTTACTTTTTGTAAGCGATGGGGCAGCCAATAACTTGACATACCGGAATTTCTTTTTTTCCCCCTTCCATAATAGAAGAGATGAGTGCCAAAATAATTTCAGAAAACCTGCCTCCCTATACAACCGGTCCCTCTGGTCATTTTCCTTTTGTAAACTTTTTTTTGCAAAAAGCTTTAGCTTTAAATTAAGCCTCTTTACCTTCAAAGAAAACTTTTCAAAAGCCATAGAAAGACTAAATTAAAGGGGGTAAAACTAATTTCATTTGTTTAAAGGGATTAAACCTTTTCTGTTGTCTCTTTTTCCCTTCCCCCACCCAAACCACCTCCTTTCATAGCCTCTTCTCTCCTCCCCCCCCTTTTCTTCGGTTCACCTCCAGCTCGGAGCTGCTGGAGCCCTGCTGGAACCCATCAGCTGGAGCCCTGCCGGCTCCTGGGGCTTCTGCCAGCCCAGACAGTCATGCAGCTGCAGCTGCCTCTCCCTCAGGCTTGGCTCATTCCCCTCCCCTGCTACAATTGGCTAGCAGTCGCGTACCACCTGCCACGTGGCAAAGTACCACAGGTGGTATGCGTACCACCGGTTGAAAAGCCCTGGCCTAGATGAAGCATTTACCTGTGGTGCTGGTGTTACTAGATCTATTGGCTAGCTTTGCACTATCCAAAATTATTGTCCCATCTAAGTTCCATTAATGTCACCAGTATCATATTTCAGTGGGTTTAGTCCTAATCTCACTTTTTATGATGTGCAATGGTTATGTTTCCCAAGCTTCTTTCTTCAGCCAGTATTCCTCAGTGACCTCTGTTCATCCTTCCTTTGCAGGGTGGAACCGTTCCTTTGGGTTCTTTAATTTCTTCTTAGAATGCCATTGTTACATATGGTATATATATGTTGACAGTATATCCGTACTATTCTGTCTCTTTTCTGGATAACACAGTGTGGGCATTCCTTTCTAAGTGCCTTGGTAGATCCTAAACTGGCCATCTCAAAATGAACAATGAGAGTGGGCAAGGAAGATGCTATGCTCTATACTTGTCATCCAACCTCTCCTTGTTTTGACAGGAGTCCACCAGTTATGGGACCCCTCAGTGGTGAGGAATCAAAAACTTCAGTTAGGATTTTTCTTGAAAGCCCCTCATCAATAAAATCACCAACCCCATAACTTTCCTTCAATGAATACTCATAGGATTGGTTGATTCCTCACAGCAGAAGTAGCAAAACATGTTTCAGTTGTCTCACATCCAGATTACTGCAGGAGTCTGTTGGCCAGATTACTTACTACCAACTCCTAATCTGGATCTGAAAGAAAAACAAAACAAAACTATAAAGAGACATTTATAAATGTTTTAAGCAATTATTATCATAATCTTTTAATTTAAAATCTGTAGTTTAACATTAATTTCCTAAGTTAAACATATTGCATTAGACAAGTGCCCAAGGATATGTCATCCCATCTCAGAACTTCAGCCAGTATATCAGGCTGATAAGTGCAGGTTTACTTTTTTAA